ATACAGTGGTACCTCAGGTTACGAACGCCCCAGCATACGAAATTTTCAGGATACGACATGAAATTCAACATATTTTTGTTCCACGATACGAACAAAAACTCACCATACGACGTTCCATTAGTTCGCATTTTTCATTTGTTTTTCTTACTACTGTTATTTTTTTTAATGTATTACTTGGCTTTAATTTGAGTATGTTTTTCGCGTTGGAACGAATTATTTGGTTTTACATGTAATCGTATGGGAAAAGATGATTCATTTTCATGATACGATCTCAGTTTCAGAACGGATTAATTTCGTATCCTGAGGTACCACTGTATTTTTCACAGAATTTATTGTAAGAAAAGTGCACATATATATATACATACACACACACACACACACACATGCACGCACACATGTATAGCAACATTGGAAAAATATCTTATTAAACAGGTTATGGTAATATACAAAAATGATTATAAGCACAGCATAAATTCAATGTGTGAGAGCTAGGACCCCTAGACTTTGTAATCACCTTTTAAATTCTTTATGGAAAGAGCAGGTTTCCAAAATTTTCTGGGAGGTAGCAAGAGAGAATTTTTGATATATAGTTATTAAATAATAACTACAGTAGAACCTTGAAAACTCGGCCTAATGTGACCGAAGGGTGGCTGAGTTTGTGAAAATGCCAGGTTATCGGGAATGGGGTTAAAAAAATAAGTACGAGTGTTTCCTCAGAAAATACTGTACTGTACTTTTATGTATTGTTTACTTGAGAATATAACAGAGAATAAACTGCCCAAATACCCTTAAACAAANTTCAACCATGTTGTTTTGTTAACATTTAATTTTGAAATTCCATTGTCTCAGAATGGAATGTCAAAACTATTCATACAGATCATATAATTAAAAATAGGAAAGAATAAGAAATATGGAGGTAAATTTTCAAATTGTGATAATTATAATTTCCATAATTCAAAAACGTTCTTGATTATGTTTATCTTATTTCAAATTTATCATATAAAAATTAATTAAAAAAAAACTATGTTTAAAAGTTAACTCATTTTATATTTTCTGAGAAATTCTAAAATTCAAACATATGGTCTTTAACACTATGTATCCATGGACCCATGAGCTTGTAACATATAATGAATGTGCTGTGTGTGGAAGAAATGTTTTGTGAGGTGGAAAGTGAAAGTTAGATGAGAAGCAAGGTGGTGGTAATGATGAATCCAAGCTCAAACCAGTACTGTTTTACCAAAGCATAATGCATTTGAGTCTGAGATTGTTTTTGTATGCTCACAATTCCAAAAGAAACCAAGTAAACATTATAAATGTTGAAGGTTTATTGTTAAACTTGTAATTTTTTATTTAGAAGTACTTTTCATCTTTTAAAAAAGTTAATGCAAATTAAGTTCAGTCTGCATTAATTAACAAATTTGACAGTAGGAAAAAAATATTACTACTATAGGTTTTTTTGATTTAGTATAGGCATCCCTTGTTTAATGTGGGATTTGATTAATGTGCGAAATTAATTTTGGAAATCATTTTTAATGTGGCAGAAGTTTTAATGTGGCTTTAACAGACTTAACATATGTTTTTCTCAGCAAAACTAGCAAATTCACTAAAATAAAGTATTTATTAATCGAAAATTTGTTCTAGAGAGTGTTGATTGTTCAGTTGAGTACTGAGGTACCACTGCACTTGATTAATACAATTTTGATATATGTGGTAGCATCGAGGAATGGATTAATTGCATTAATCAAGGGATACCTGCATATGTGTAGACAGATACATAGGCCTATAAGAGAGTATCAATATTTTTTTGTTTTTGATTAGGCCTTCTAATGAAAATTAGAAGATTTCACTGTGTATGAATTTTAAATTTTTTTTTCTTCAAATGTATACTGTATATACAGTAAGACCCCACTTAATGCAGGGGATGTGTTCCTAGACAACAAAGTGCTAAATGAAACAGTGTTAAATGAGGTCATTTTAACATAGTAAATAGGGATAGGGGAACACGTGACCAAAAATAAACCAATTTTACTTTAAGTTATTTTTATATTAACTTGTATAATAATATATGTTAAATTACATTTCTGTGTGCATATGTTTATATGTTAAGTTCATTTTTTTTGTGATGAATGTCCTGACTTTTCTGAAATTGTTGTTCTTTTGCAATAAAGTCATGAAGTTTCATTTGAAACTTCATTTATCTTTCCTTAAACAAATGTCGGCAGCAGAAGATCGCATCCAAAACATCTTGTTTTGCTTTTGCACTCCTTTCAAAATCTGAATCATTCACTACAATTTGATCATCGATTTCAGTTATCATAAACTTTTACTAAGGAAATCTGTAGAGAAATTTTTTGGGTTTTTTGTTTTCAGAATCACTATTTTCCAGTTCCACATGAATTCCATGTTCTGCCAGTTCTTGAAGGTCATCGTTTGTAAGGCTCACCAGAAACCTGCTGTAACTCCTCAATATCTAGTTCGTCTGCATCTAATCCTGCTATATCGATTAAGTTGAGTTTGGTCAACCTAACAATACAGCAATAGGCTCTTCTCGTTGAGAATTCTTGGATACCTTCAGCCATAACTTCTTCCACACTTCTTCATGCATTAATCAGTTAATTCTTACCAAGCAAAGTCGATATTTTCTATGACATCCATGATGTTATATTTTCTTCCAAAATTGCACCAAACAAACATAGATTTAAAGAAAATACACCTTTTTGCCACCTTTTGCTGATTATTTGCAAACACAAACCAGTCATATTATATACAAATAAACAAAATGCCGTAATAATTTAAATCAGCATAAATTTTGAGCTTTTTTAGGCTTTGAGCAGACCATGTTATATTGAATCAGCGCTAAGTGGGGTCTTACTGTATTAAAAATTAGTTTTAAAATATTATTTATAACTTAATTAAAAATACATAATTTATATTTTTATAAACAGGAGATATCCAAATGATGATGGAGAAATTGATTTTCTTATACAAAAAGAGCAAGACTTTGGTGTCTCTGGTAAAAATCTACTTATAAACATTACATGAAATTATGGTATAATGGTAAATTATTTTTATAATAAATCTTTTAAAGAAATGAAGACTACAGAAAAAGGAAAATCTTCATCTCCAGACAAAGATCAAGCTATAGATACAGAAGTGGCTGTTTCAGAATCTCTTATGTTAGAAGAGGAAATTTGTTCATTTGATTTAAATGGTAATGATGATCTAGTCAATTTACAAAACAAAATCAATTAAAATGTTCTTAATTTAGTTAATCAAAAAGTTATAATTCATATTCCCGATAATAAACTAATGATTTAAATTCTCATTTCTTTAGTTTAATGATGGATAAAATTCATAAGAATTTGTAAATGTGGTAATTCCAGCTTGTTGATCCGAACAAATAAGTTCATTTATGTGAACAATTTTTAAATAATTTTTCCCCTCAATCAACATCTAGGCAAATATTTATTGAAATATATTTAGAGAAACAAAATAGCTTCTTTATAACTGAATTATCAGTAAACTGACCTTGCTCATTGAAATGAAATATTTAAGTAGAAATAACTTTAGAGAAAAAATGGTGCAGTTAAAAAAGTGTTTAAAATTTAATTTATTTCTGGTAGCACTAAAGTATCTTATTTTTTTCTGGTTCTGTGGAAATCAAAATTTAATCCTTAATGTCTCATAAAATTTGTTAATTTGGATATTATGACAAACACATGTGATTCATCTGTTTTTAGTTTAAAATAATGCGTATAAATTACAATGTTTTATTTTACCATTGATATTTTAAAATTTAGCTCTAAATTACATATTATTTACAATTATTGATAAGTTTAGAGTAACTGCAAAACAAAAAATTGCCATAAATTATATCAGATTGGAAAGGTGAAATTTAGACGACATGATTTTTTTTCTACAAATGACAGAAAAAAATGTTGTAGAATGTTCAAATGTGGGTATATAATAGTTATGTACCAGATCGTTAAAAATGTATATCCGTGGATACGGATCATTAGTGTCTAGATCTGTGGATATTGGTGTCAACTTTTGTACTCAGTTGGTGCGTGACCTTGGACTAATAGTTGACGCTTTGCGTTAGTAACGTGACTTTTTTTACTTGCACTGCGCGTGTTTTTGTTTATAGTTTAGTGTGACACGGGATAGCGTAGATTACATTTGTATTTTTGGAGTGTGTTGAGTTAAATTGAAATAAAAACAATGTTGGCAAAAAAGTTTAGTTGTGTAATAAGGAAATATTTTATGATAGTAAATGAATTTTGCATGATAAAATTTTTGCAATATTAATGTGCCAAATATGTGATTTTAAGAAATAAAAAGTGATTTGAATTGAAGTTATTAGTATTTTATTGCTACCTATCTTTAAAATTTCTATTAGTAATGAAATTCATTAAGATAAAAGATCCATTAAAGATCTGCTAAAAAGTAACGGATATGAATACGGATCTTTTTTTCCCACGGATATCCGGCACATCACTAGTATGTAAGTAGAGTAACCAGGGGGCATTTCATCACATATTTCATTGGAAATAAATGCATCAGCAATGTCTGACAATATGAACAATTTACAAAAAGAACACATTTGCATGCTGTTTCTCAATCACTTCAAAAGTGTCTGCAATGTCTTCTGCAAGGTATTTGGTGAGTATACCAGTCAACAAGAAACCTGTTACAATTGGTTCAAGAAATTCAAGGATGAAGATTTCTCACTTCAAGATGAATCCCATACAGGAGGCAATTCCACCAGATGATCTCCTTAACTGATACACAATAATCCACAGTTGACAACCAGAAAATTAGCTTGACAACTTGAGTGTTCCAATACAACCACTACCAATCACCTTCATGCTCTTGGCAAGTGGCTGCCCCATGTGCCCAGTAGTTGCTATGAAAAGCAAGATTGTTCACAGTAGAATTTTTGGATGAAGTCCAATATCACCACAATGCACCAGCACAGTAAAAACGACCTTAGAAAAACTGGCCAATCTGAGCTGAGGTTCTGCCTCATCCATCACAATCCAGATTTTATGTCAACTGACTCTGCAGGGCATGAAATAGTTGGTAATCATATTGCAAATATCCAGGTGAGAACAATAGAAACATAGAAAAAATCCCAGTCATTCTATGCTAATTGGATTGAAAGTTTGTAGCAAAGGTAGCAAGATGTTTTTAATATTGATGGTGATTATCTACAAGACCAAAGTGTAATTGTTGTTGAATTAATTTTTCAAACTGTCTTAAATTTCACCTTTACAAGCTGATATTAAAGTGTAGAATGTCATACCTACACTAAAGAATATATCTCTTACAAGTTAAGTGCTTAACGGTATTAAATACTGCCAGATGATGGCCAAATGGCTTGAGTGGTCAAAGTCTACTGCTCTGGGAGACTTGGAACCAAATCCAGATGGGTCGAGAAATCCCCAGGAATTTTTGGGGGGTGGTCTGTCTAGATATGTCGGGTCCTGTCCCTCACCACTAGGCTGCCCCATTGTGGGCTTGCTAAAAAAGAAGCCCTCTTAGTGCCTACAGGGCAGAAAGAGTTAAATATTAAAAATACTGCCAGACAATTTGGTCCAAAAGCAGCCTTAATACAGCTGGATAAGAATAAGAAAACCATTTCAAATGAAATGTTATTTTCTTATCTAGATGCATTAAAGCTGCTTTACCAAACAGTGCACACATTATAAAATTATCAAATTATCATTAGTAACAGTTTATATTAGTCATAATGACAAAAATATAAAAAATAATTATATTTATCATTTCCAAAATTGATGGTAAATCTTATGAGCAAAATGTTTTTTAAATAATGCATATGTAATTGCTCCAAAAAATTTCTTGCTATTTTTAATAATATTTATAGAAGTTTTCAGCTGAGTTAAAATATTCTGTTTACATATAAAGTTAAATATATTATTTGTTTTATGATGATGATTCATCTAAACAAACAGGAATAAAATTTTATATCATTAAGAATTCATATTATAGTGTTTTATGCATAAAACAAACTTGTTCATTTTATTTTTAGGTGAAGAATCAGATTGGATTACAGAAGAAAAGTGATAAGACATAAAAAATGTAAAAATTATTTGTATTGAACAAAAAATAAATATAATAATTGAAAATTTTAAATGTTTAATAAATTTTTCAAAAACTGTAATTATTCTGATTGAAAATAAAATATATAAATGTTCGATTTTCAATATTCACAAGTAAATTTTGTATATACAAAATGCACAAATCTCATTTTTAATTTATATCTTTCTCAAAAACATGATGTTATTCTGTGCTGTCTTTATGTACAATAACTCCCCGGGATATCATTTCTGGAATTTCCACTGCAAGCCATGGACCTAGCTGTAAAAAAAACATCATATTTGATATAGTATACATAACTTTTGTATATATTCATAAAGTAAAATGTATTTAATAATTATTATTATTATAGTTAGTTGTATGCTTTCTAAAGCCTATTACAGTGGTACCTCAGGTTACGAACACCCCAGCATACGAAATTTTCAGGATACGACATGAAATTCAACATATTTTTGTTCCACGATACGAACAAAAACTCACCATACGACGTTCCATTAGTTCGCATTTTTCACTTGTTTTTCTTACTACAGTTATTTTTTTTAATGTATTACTTGGCTTTAATTTGAGTATGTTTTTCGCGTTGGAACGAATTATTTGGTTTTACATGTAATCGTATGGGAAAAGATGATTCATTTTCATGATACGATCTCAGTTTCAGAACGGATTAATTTCGTATCCTGAGGTACCACTGTATTTTTCACAGAATTTATTGTAAGAAAAGTGCACATATATATATACATACACACACACACACACACATGCACGCACACATGTATAGCAACATTGGAAAAATATCTTATTAAACAGGTTATGGTAATATACAAAAATGATTATAAGCACAGCATAAATTCAATGTGTGAGAGCTAGGACCCCTAGACTTTGTAATCACCTTTTAAATTCTTTATGGAAAGAGCAGGTTTCCAAAATTTTCTGGGAGGTAGCAAGAGAGAATTTTTGATATATAGTTATTAAATAATAACTACAGTAGAACCTTGAAAACTCGGCCTAATGTGACCGAAGGGTGGCTGAGTTTGTGAAAATGCCAGGTTATCGGGAATGGGGTTAAAAAAATAAGTACGAGTGTTTCCTCAGAAAATACTGTACTGTACTTTTATGTATTGTTTACTTGAGAATATAACAGAGAATAAACTGCCCAAATACCCTTAAACAAAGGAAAAGTACGTCCTTTATGAAGGCTTAGAGCGTTTACTACATGAAAATGAAAATTAATGAATACACTGTGTACAGTAATTTACCTGATAAGACAGACCTCAGAAAAATACTTTATGAGAGCTTTTATACTTTTATAAAGCTGTCTATAATGAAAATTAATTAACTAAGGATTTTTTTGCCCTGCCAGGGTGTGGCCGAGTTATCCGGAGTGCCGGGTTATCGAGAGCTGAGTTTTCGAGGTTCTACTGTATATATTTAATATAACTAACTATATATAATATTTAGTTATAACTCGGCCCTATGTTAAATCACAACACTTTCCAACTAGAGTTTCATTTAAATAATGAATAAAATATTAGTCACATTCATAAACAGATTACTTAGGATTTATTCCTGTAAGTGGATGTTGGTAGACATACATGCTTACAAGAAATACATTTTTGCTTATAATATGCAAATCTTCAATGAATGAAAGAACATTGTCAAAGTGACCCAACAAGATCATCTTTGCTTATGCTGGCTGTGTGTAGCTGTTGAATTTTAAGTCATATTTTCGTTTTTTGTCAAAAGTATTACAACAAAGTCCAGTACTAGCATTTCTAATTTAATAAAGTTTTTGAATTTTTAACAAACTCTGATGCAAACTTTTCTTGCATCATCGCGTTAACATTTTGGATCTTGCAATTTCATTAAGGTGACTACTAGCAGTTCCTGTGGTGTAATCTTAGGAACCAAACATCCAGCTTTTTGACTTAGAGAGGGATTCTAGGAATGTGGGGCAAGCAGTATTTCAAATATGTCGGTAATGAGAAAGAAGGAAAAAAAAAAACTAATTACAAGATCAGAAAGAAATCAAATTATTTGCATTACAAAAGGGTGAAGGATTAATTAAAATAATACAGAAACCTCATTAAGCATCTAAGCTGTGTTTTGACACTCATTACTATGCAGCATGTATGTTTGTAGGGTCAGCAGAATTGTGATGGACATCTGTATGATGCAATTGTGCATTGATGAAAAAAGTAAGTATTTTAGATAACTTATACAAATGCTTAATACAAGCAAANTACTACATGAAAATGAAAATTAATGAATACACTGTGTACAGTAATTTACCTGATAAGACAGACCTCAGAAAAATACTTTATGAGAGCTTTTATACTTTTATAAAGCTGTCTATAATGAAAATTAATTAACTAAGGATTTTTTTGCCCTGCCAGGGTGTGGCCGAGTTATCCGGAGTGCCGGGTTATCGAGAGCTGAGTTTTCGAGGTTCTACTGTATATATTTAATATAACTAACTATATATAATATTTAGTTATAACTCGGCCCTATGTTAAATCACAACACTTTCCAACTAGAGTTTCATTTAAATAATGAATAAAATATTAGTCACATTCATAAACAGATTACTTAGGATTTATTCCTGTAAGTGGATGTTGGTAGACATACATGCTTACAAGAAATACATTTTTGCTTATAATATGCAAATCTTCAATGAATGAAAGAACATTGTCAAAGTGACCCAACAAGATCATCTTTGCTTATGCTGGCTGTGTGTAGCTGTTGAATTTTAAGTCATATTTTCGTTTTTTGTCAAAAGTATTACAACAAAGTCCAGTACTAGCATTTCTAATTTAATAAAGTTTTTGAATTTTTAACAAACTCTGATGCAAACTTTTCTTGCATCATCGCGTTAACATTTTGGATCTTGCAATTTCATTAAGGTGACTACTAGCAGTTCCTGTGGTGTAATCTTAGGAACCAAACATCCAGCTTTTTGACTTAGAGAGGGATTCTAGGAATGTGGGGCAAGCAGTATTTCAAATATGTCGGTAATGAGAAAGAAGGAAAAAAAAAAAAACTAATTACAAGATCAGAAAGAAATCAAATTATTTGCATTACAAAAGGGTGAAGGATTAATTAAAATAATACAGAAACCTCATTAAGCATCTAAGCTGTGTTTTGACACTCATTACTATGCAGCATGTATGTTTGTAGGGTCAGCAGAATTGTGATGGACATCTGTATGATGCAATTGTGCATTGATGAAAAAAGTAAGTATTTTAGATAACTTATACAAATGCTTAATACAAGCAAATATATTTTTGAAAACAAATTATAAGATTGGAATTTACTAATAAGCAATGATGAGCAAATAATATAATATAAAAATAATTTTGTTGTGTAGGTCTCGTAATTGGTATTATTTAATTTTTTACCGACAGCTGTCAAATACCAACCATTAGTTCAATATGGGCCTCATCACAGCTTATGGCAACTTTAACTGTAGGTTTCTATTTTGAAATTTCAAATTATTAAATGTACATCTTGGTGGGCCATTCCATGGCAACCCAAGTCCAAATCAAGGTTAGTCTTTTTAAGATTTCAAGTTATAAATTGAATTTGCTATAAGCCAGACATCATCATATGGATCAAATCATGGTGAGAAGAATCAGACCAATCAACACAAGGGGTCTGGAAGTTCATTGATGTACAAATGAATAGCATAGCAGTTATGACAACCCTGCTAGGTTGGGATCTATGTGTAAACAGATGCTACTTGCAGCAATGAGTTCTTATCATTTGCCACTCAATAATACATTTTAGAAGAGCTAAAATCTTATACAGGTACTCCTCTACTTACGAACATTCAACTTACAAATAATTTGACCCTATGTCTAAAATTTAAATTTTGTGTGGATTCTGAAGTTCTCTTGTTGTTCATGGGGTCAGGAGAAAGATTGAAGTCAATCTTTGGTCAGCAATAAGTAATACATTTTTAATAAATAATTAACGTGGGCTTATTTCTATTAAGTATTGCCATCTCTTTTATGTGAATTCTGAGGTTTCAAGGCCACTCATGAAATTGTAGTTGTAACATTGTGCTGGAAGTTGTAACATTAGAGAAATGGCATTTTTCACTATTGTTTGCATTTTTATAAACTTTAGTAATTAGTGCTTCAAAAATGCATCCAAAATATAGCAGTAAATCTAGCAATGCAAGTGGTGTTGCTTTATTTCTACAGAAACTAAACTGGACATTATTTGGTAATATACAATATAACTGGAATGATTAAGGGATTGAATGAATTCCTGGGCCAAAGGCATAGGCTATTGGTCCTGTTGATCATAGAAGTATTATAATTGGTAACAGTTTTACATATGTTAGTTTTTCCTTAACCAAACATTTTTAATCTTGTCACAGCTGTGTGTTTAGAGGTATTTCATATGAATCATTGATGATGGAAATGTGAGATCTAGAACCTGACCTTTCTTTAAGAATTTAGCCAATTCTCCATCACAATCATTAAGAAAACATCACACAGAAAAATAATTGAATGTCACCCTTCTCATCAACAAACACTAAGAAATTATAACAATCCATTGTTAAAAGATGAGAATGTCAACATTTGAACAAGTAAACAGGATGAATCTAACATTTCACGAATTAAACATAACACTATCCAATCCATTTAGACATCATCTTACCATCGTTGCCGGCCCACCTATGACCCAACACCTGCAACTTTGTCTCCAAAAACTCTGATCACCTGATCATTTTCCCAAGCAAAAGGAGGATATAACAAATAAATAAGCAATTACCTATAAATCAGCAGTTAATTCTCTTTAGAACAAACATTTTCCTCTGTCTTTAATGGCCACCATCATCAGGTTTCTATGTATTGAATGTTTGTAAAAGCAAATTCAAAGAACCAAAAGTTGCACGTTGTGAAGTTATGTGCATGCTCAATGTTGCATATAAAAAATTATTTTTCAAACTGGCTTCCTATTTTAGAAAATTTGATGTTTATATAAATTATAAAGACAAACTTGACGAAGATCTATTTTACATCAAAGTAGGCCTTCCATGCAACTGCTAACGAGTCCATTTCTTTAAAACTGATCGCTGTTTCCCTCTTAAACACTTTAAATATCTCCAGCAGTTTGAGATATTTTAGGTTGGTCTGGTCCACACATCATTGCAGTAATCTTGCATTATCAAAATCAACCCTGACATCATTATCAATGGTGAAAGAGGTAAATGCTGTGGTGGAAAGACCTTTCTGAATGGTATATTTTTGTTCCTTGATCCTTGCTTTTAGGCAACATGAAGTAGCACCAATATATTCACAAGGATGGTTCACCCTATGATTGTAAATAGAGATGGAATATCCTATTTGACATCTGGGATATTATTTCAATCCAATCGTTTCTTGTTTCAGTTCTCTCTTGTTATTGTTTCTTAAACAAGAGAAAACTGTTGGAGATCTCTTGTAAGTGATCCCGTTACTCTTAAAGTGGGCTATTTCTTTGTAGATATTGGTAAGGATCTTGTTGTAAGTAACAGGTAAAAAGGACTTGTCTCTTGGAAGTGCTGTTTCTACTGATTGTTCCTGGTGTGCAACCAGAGTATTAATAAGGTGTGCAGGGCACCCATACTGCTTAGCTACACTTGAAATATACTCCAGTTCCATTCTCCTATCTTCTGCCATCAAACAATGGGTGTAAGCTCTTCTTACCACGGCCTTAAAAGTGGAGATCTTGTAACTAAAAAGGATCATATGATTTTGCATGGATGAAAAGCAGCACATACGAGGTCTTACGGAATACCTTAGTTGTTAACCAGCCCTGTTGTAATGCAATGTCTAAATGTCTACATCAAGAAAGTGTACGCTGGTGGAGCTTGTTGTTCTGCCTGCAACGAGAGGCCATAAGTGTTATTGAAAGCCTTGATGAACGCTGACAAGTTCAGTTTCTTTCCCCAAATAATCAATACATCATCCACATATCTAGTGTACATAATATATATATATATAATATCTAGTAACATAATTTCATTACTCACACCAGGTAAGACATACTGTTCTATGTGCCTCACCACCAATTCACAAAGCATTCTTGAGATGGGACTACCCATGGGTACTTCTCTACCTTGAAGGAAAGTATCTCCTTCAAATACAAAAAAGGCCAAGTGACACATAAGATGTGCTAACTCCAAGATGTTGGAAATATGTCTGGAAGAGTCATTGATATTACAAATGAGGAAGTCCTGTAATTAAACAAAAACATGGCTCTATATGAATGAAAGAGAACATGGACTCAAAGTCACATACCATGAAATAGATGCCCTCCAAGTTGCCAAGAGCATTTAATCTATAAATCAACTCCACAGGATTGGATGCAGTGTGTGAATATTGTTCCATGTTGCTGTTTATAAAAAAGTTGAGCATGCACTCCATAAGAATAAATGGAGATCTTGATTTGTTGACTACCAGATTAGTTGTTTACCAGTTTTATGGAGCTTGGCAAAGGCAAATAAGTGAGGGAAAATTGGTGCCAAGGCTGATGCTCTGGTTACTTTGAGTACTCCAGCTAATGGCTAATTAACTGTACATTTAACCCTTGTTTGAATCTTCTCCAAATACCTGCTAGGGGCCTTAGTGCATTCAGTGTAGTGAATGTACTCATGTAAGCCATTTCTATATGTGTCCCGTTTCATTAGTACAATTAGTAATATCATTGAGGATATAACAACAAAGCACTCAAACTTTGGGGCAATCGTCCATTGGGAACAACCTCTCCCAGACCTGACTGTCCAGCGAAGATCTCAATTAGACCAATCCAGAATCACAAAAAAGAGAAAGAGGGAGGATGCTTCACTGACTTTTGTAAACTCTCTCTCAGCCCCTTAATGTGTTATTAGTGAATTAGGTAGATTGAATAAGCTTATCATCCTTTATACTCAGCTCATTACTCGATATTATGATCTGACTCCTGTAACCTTTGTTTAAATTATAGTTGTTCATTAAATTTTATTCTTATTGAGTTTAATTAATTAATGATGGCTTTTACTTGAGTATTGCCAACACTTTATCGATGACCTCGCTCAACCCACACTTGACCTGACCAGCTGATCCCAGAATCTGGGAGAACATGCAGCAAAAATATGCCATCCAGTGACAATGTGAGTGGTTTTCATCAGATCATTGCTGGTAAATGGGTTAGGGTGCACACAGTAACCCTGGTTCCTCACAGAAAGATGGCTTCAAACTTACAGGAAGATTTATTACAAAGTTTTGATTTAATTTCCATAAAATAAATTGAAAAAGTAATAATTTTATATTTTGCATTGCATAACATATGTTAATGTGCAAAATTTAATGAATTTTTATGAAATAAATAATTCATTCATTCCAAACAAATCATTACACTCACTATACATATTAAAATTTGTAAGTTAGAGATTCAAGGAGGAATGGTACAGTCATGGAAAACAGAACAATGCCCTTTGATTCCCTTAGCTGATCCATAATAGATAACAGAGATAGAAACCCATACAAATATTTGTTTACACATGCTGCCATGACTTAATTAACAAACCTAACTTAATACAATATTAAATATATATAAAAAAAATTACTTACACCAAGAGCAATGGCATGAGCTATGCCAAATTTTGGAACATTCCTAGCCCACAATGGTTTGAAGTGATCCGTCATGCATATTTTTCCACCCCTGTAATATGTGAAATATATTAAATAAATTTGCAAGTTTCTATAACAGAATCTCAATCAATTACCTGTACATCTTGGCAGTTTTACCATCTAATTCAGGAAGAGCAATTTCTGGTGCCGTAGTTGGATACGTTACCGGAATCTTTAACAATAGAATTTGTAATTAATAAATTACTTTCATAATTAAAAATAAATAAATAAATAAATATATATATATATATATATATATATATAATAATGCGAAACTTATCAGCTTACGTCAAATTCTATATCAAATTCATACTTCATAAGTTCGTGAATATACCAGCACTTTCCAAACCAACGGGTTCCGTCTTTATTTGATTCTAACCGAAACCAATCATTGTCCTTTTCTTTATTGGTCTCTACATACTGAAATATTATCAGTAAATTATTAATTAAAACTGTATTTAAAATTAAAAATAATGTTTTAACATTAAGATAATTTAGATTGTGTTTTCCTAACTCAAAATTGACTGTCTAATCATCTGAGGTACATTTGCCAATGCAAATTAAAAAGAAAATTAATGAAGAATTAAGTTATGCAAGATTTACAACTTTTTAAAACATAAACTACTTAAAATGTTGTTCTACATAACATACAAAATACAAGAAAGAGTAAATTAACAAATTGCTAAAATTATGACCCATAAAATACCTTAAGAAAACACAACACATACCTAATGACATGATACATGACATCTACAGCAATATTAAAGCCAGATTTTTTCATGTTTTCTTTCTGAAGCTGAATTTTCTTGTCTTTCATATAATAATTTTAACAATCATTTCAGTTTATCATTTCTAGAAGTCAAACAGGCTATCAGCAGACTAAAACTGTCTAATTTTAGTTCCTGATCATGTACCAGTCATATTTTTATCTAAATTACAACCCTCTACAGGCGTCATATTGTCTAAACTTTTCTCTAGATTAATCCAACATAATACCATTGTTTTGGAATGAAGTTATTCTACTATAAAAGTTATCAGCAAAAAAGATACTAACTCTTTCAGACCTATCACCCTATACATATCTCAAATAATTTTAGCATTGCTGGAGAGCAATGCTAAAATTATTTGAGATATGTATATACCAGAAAATGTATACACCAGTAACTTCTAAACTATATCTTATTCAACACCGGTATTCACCACCACTCAACTAACACTAATCTACTTGAAACCCTTTTATCATCTTAGACAATCTTGAAAATAATAAAGATACCTATGTCATTTATCTTGATATCTCACAAGCTTTTGATTTTGTTCTACCTAACATACTTCTACATATCCCCATGAATACTTTGATATTAACCCTGTTTTATTAAGTTGGATAAACAATTATTTCTATCAAGACTATGCAAGATAAACAATTTTGAATTTCTAGATTTTCCCCATTAGTGGCATTCCACAAGGTTCAATTCTGAGCAGTCTATTTTTCTCTGCATACATTAACAATCTCTTCAACAATATTAATTCTAAAGTAATAGGAGTTTTATATCATCAGCATATGCTAAATCATGATCCAAACGTTTTACAGACCTTAAAATTCTCTCTGACTTTTAGTAAAATAAATTTAAAAATCAATATTTGTAAAATTGTAGTGATATGTTTCTCTCTGATTAGAAATCCACCATTTCCACATTTATAATCATATTCTAAATTATGTAACTTCATTTAGTGATCTGGGAGTCATCTTTGACAATAAATATCTAAAGGACATATAGAAAAATAGCAAAATATATCACAAACTGATGGGGAATTTTATGGTTCTTTTGTAAACCCATATTATCAAAAACTTTACTAAGAATGATATTTTTTACAAACTTCCAGTCTTTAATAGATTATTGCTTACCAATCTGAGCAATGGCAACTCCTTTACTAAACAAGGTCATTAAAAGAAATATATAAAGTTTATTTCCTTTTAAACAAATTTTGTCATCTCCCTTACACTAATAATAACAAGGTCACAAGAATCAGACTGGGATTACATTAATTTTAAAGAAAGAGTCAAGTATTTTGACCAAATTTTAACCTATAAATATTTTAATGGCATCATAAACAATTACTGGCTCATGTTAAAAGTTCCTTCTAGAGTAAGCAGATCTCAATCTTGTTTACATAACCGTTTTTATTGTTTATCATAAGTCACAGATCCTTTTTTTTTAAATCAATCCATCAATCATATGTTGCCCATTGGACATCACTTTCATCAAGATTTTATAAAATATAAACATTATTGTCAATGCTTTCATCATAATGTATGATTATCTTAATCTCCTTTTATCATTTGTCTTGATCTCCCTCTCTTTTAAAAATTTTTTTAATTTGATTTCTTTATTGTTATTTTATATTGTTTTTTTGGGGTAAATTCTGTTATTCGGGGGTGGAAATCTCTTCAGGGATGGTCAGTTGACAGTTCCAATAATATGTAAAATAAAATAAATAAATAAATTAATTAATTTGAATTGTCCAATTTCTAACATATATTGAGATTAGTATTAATGCATGTAGCCACACTTAAATTTAAAGGCATAAAAATTTATTCAGAATTATAAAATATCATACCATCACAAAACTATCTTTACAATAGTTATTACAAGGCAATCTGTAAATTCTTACTTTTGTAAATTTTTATATAATGAAATAAAATTTTTATATTAATTAATCAAAGTAGCAAAAGCAATCTCTAATCATATAATTCAAACAACTGTCTACCGGCATTACAGAAAAATATGTTTAATTCACAAGTACTTTTGATAGTTTATAACCGTCCTCTTCAGGCAATATGGTGAACAAAACATCAGAAATCTAGAGATACAACATTTTCAAATTTTTCTCATGCACGAACACAGAACATAGAATTACAAATATAAAATTATAATGATATACACAATGGCTGTCACTAATAACATTAACAGAATTAATATACAAAAAATAACTGATAACAAAATAAACAATAATTTAAACAATAAACAAATACAATGGAGTACCAAGGATGTCACAATGTTTTTTTTAAAAACTGTACAACCTATGATTTTAGAAAGTTGAATAGCACAACCCATAACCCTGGTATATCAAGTGTGGGAGGGTTACACGGACAACATTTGATGTAATGAACAAAGACTCCCATATTAACAAGGTTTTCCTGTCCCCACAATGTTTTACCAGCAAAATTTGCAACCAAAAAGATTGAACTAACAATTAGAAATTGGTAAATTTATGGGTTAAAGTTTATAGTGATTATATATAAAGCTACATACACACAATGAAGCTGAGAGAAAGTTTAGTTAATTTTTTCTTTTATGACTTTATAACTCATACATACAACTGAATACCGCAACAGAAAATTTCATTTGATGTAAATGATTTTATGGTACGTAATTAATAACAATCCACGAAAAACCTTTTTTTACGAGTGTTATGCGAGTCATAAAAAAAGGTTTTTCGTGGATTGTTATTATTCAACGCAGTGTTAAGTGGTTGGAAGTCGTTTATCTTGGTACGTAATTTTTGTCATAAACAAAAAATTCACATACCATAAATTTATGATAAATTCACGTATCATAAATTACACACACAATTAATTTTGGAAAATATATATATATATATATATATAATAAATGAAAACATTATATTATTTATAAATATATATATAAAATATTTTTAAATAAACTATCACACACAAAACCTTTTTAACCAGTAATTGAACTTTAATGTAATTTCCAAATGTTTTCGGACTTCGCCAAGGTTTTGTGTGGCAGTTTATTTACTCGTTCTAATAAGTTGAGAAGACTGTTATAAAATATTTTTGTTAAATAAAGAAAATCTATGTTAAAATATATTCACGTCATACAATTGCAATGCTATACAATATTCTGTTCCAAAAGTGATATAGTACCAGACTAGTCAAAACAAAACAAAAAAAAAAAAAAATGTTCTGTGGAGATTTTGAACATAGCAGGAATCTAACAAAACACATCATAGTTTTCCTCAAATGACTACATTAGTTCATCATTCTACCATCAGATATCAGGTGACACTGTTGCAACATGGTAGCTACTGGACAGGAGAAAGCATTTTGCATCCTAAAATTTTATATTAGTAACATAGTGTCCAGCAGCAGTTTCATACCCAATATGGTAAAGTACACCCTGCCAAAAACTCAATCTTCAGATGGTATGATCAATTTAACAGAACCAGTTGCATTTGTGAGGAAAGTTTCTTGCCATCCTTTGGTGTCTAATGAGGGTGGTGAAGCAATTTAGCACAGTCCACAAAAGTCTATGGTCAGAGCCAGCCAAGAAATGGTTTTCTGTAAAAGCTGTGTGGAGCTTATTGAAGAAATGTCTGAATGTATACCCTTATCAACTCCAGTAGTTGCATTATCTAAAGTAGGGTGATCAGGAGGGGTGATACTGAGCAGTGTCATTAAGCAAAATGAGTATGTTGTGATGTCACATAACTTAACAAATGATCAGCAAGAAATGCAATATTGAACCTCACGGAATTCTCATTAGGAATGACTCATTGACAATTATTGAATATTACTTAAATCCTATTTTATTGAAACATAGGCAAGATTATTACTTTCATTTTAAAACTGTATCATTTAATATCGTTTATAGCAAATATAATGTCTGTATAAATGATAATTACAATATATTTATAAAATAGACACTCCACTTAAGATTTACTGCTGTAACCCATGCTAATATCACATGATCGAAATAAGAAGAAATGATCCTCATTGCATATTGGTTAATTTCCATTATTAGTGATACACGTGTGTCACTGATCACTTGAGACAAACACACCAAATTTGTGTGTCTCAAAAGACTGTGTACAAACCCAATGAGAATGGCAAAGGTGTACTTGAGTATTGTTCTATGCCATACATTCATTAGAAATGATCATTGAAATTAAGTAGGCAAACCTTTTCACAATGACAGTTGTTGCATTCAGTACTGCCTCCCAGATCTTCCCAATTTTGACTGTTTTTAGTATTTCATTGTAGAATCAATCTTTGAATAGAGCCATTTTATTAACACACAAATATAACATAACCAATTTACAGATCAATAAATAAATAAATATTGTAATATATTCTGAAACTGTGTCTTCCTTTATTTGAATAATTTGTTATCACTACTAACAAATTATTCAAATAAATAAATTTTAAAAAATAAGCAATATTCATCAGTTTTAGACCCCATTTTCACTGATTTTGAATCTCCCCAGTTGGATTTTAAATGTTATGGCCATCTTAACCTTTCAACAATGGAATAGTCAGGTATGGTGCTACCCCTTAGTAGTGGAGAATAAATGTGCGAAATTTTTAGAGTATTTTTCCACACATTTTTTTCTCATTACCATTTTGGAAAAAGATTTTGTAAACAGTTATGTCTAGTAAAGAAAAGTCTTGTTTTTATTGTTACATAATTCATTTTTTTATGTGAATTTTTTTTTGTGGTACTTTTAGGCTAGTTTTTGGCTGACTACAGTTCTGAGTCATTGCAAGAGCTAATGGAATATGGGTTCATAGAAAGATGCATTTAAATGATGAAGCAGCATTCTATCTTAGCAGTAAGGTAAACAAACACAACATGTGAATTTGGGATACTAAGAATCTTCACTCATTTGTGAGACATTCTCTGCTGTTTCCAATTCAAAATTGTACAGAACTTTCTTTTGATGGTAGTACTCTCATGGATCAACATACTTTGGCACATCAACAGAGTGACTTATGCATGATTTTACCAATCAAGTAAATGGAGTCAATTCGCTATAACAACAATAAAAAAATATCTGTAAATTTTCGTCAGATTGAGTTTCCAGCACTTGTTTTTAGTAGATAAAAGCAATATCACCCCAAACGAAGGTATGACGGATGCAAGAAAGATGTCTGAATGTCACAGTTCCTTTTTTTAGAAATTATTTGTAATTTTAATTGGATATATATTTTGTGTTTTTTAAAAGGACTTTTTAAACTTCTGGCAACAAGTAGCCTAAAAGGAAAGGTCAGTTGCCAACGATGTGTATTGTCTGGAACACAGAAATAATAAATGGTGATCCCTTTTTGGGCAGACTGTCTTCAATTTTATTAATAAAAAAAACACATAAACACATAATTGACATACTGATGGATTGGTCATGCTGCTGGTGATCATCAACTTTGAAGTAGCCTCCTTAGTTTCCTGACACGACCCAGTGCAACCCCAGTTTTTTTGTGGGGTATGTGAAAGATCTTATTTACACACTTATCCTTCAGAATCTACCAAAGATGATGAATTCTATTGCAGTGGCATAGCATGGGTGTCAGCCGCCCGGGGCGGAGGAAAATTTCACCGCCCCTTTATTTAGGTATCTCAATTTAAAAGACTAAAATTCAGTTTCGTCACAGAATAAGTAATGAAAAATTCCGTGCTCATTTCAATCGGTCCGAATTGTAGGTGCAACAAAAATATGAAATGAAATGGTTCAAATTTTTACAAGATATTATTATTTATTGTGAAATTTTGCCGCCCGGGGCGGGCCGCCCCTGCCACGCTACACCAAAAATATGAAATGAAATGCATAAAATATGAAATGTTCTATCATAGCAGCAGTGGAAACCATTGATGCCAATATACTTTAATGCATTTGACAGGGCCAACATTTGCAGTGTGTTCTCAATCACTCTGCAAATGTCAATCGATTGAGTCATACTGAGTACTAAAAACAATCGTGTCAGGTAAACTTTCACAGTTATTTTACACATATCCTACATATACAAATTGGGTAGACGTTTCAGGGAAGAACTTTTAGGTAATTTGTTAGTAAAAATGTATCTCTGAATGAGGTGGTTGGGGCTTTATCAGAGCTGCAGCCATATGTTAAACCTATTCCAAATAAAATATGTTAAAATCGTTCAATTCTTTGTACAAATTCTGCCATCCATAATTACCAATAAGATTACTGTAGATGCAATATTTGTATATTTTTTGTGATAAAAAGTTGAATGGAAAATAAAGTTGCTTGGCTTTTAAATGCCACGTGGCCTTGAAATACGCCATCAATTTTGTTTAAAGTTAAAATTAATACAATACTTACTTTAATCAACGCTTGATATTCTTCTTTTAGTCTAGATGGCCACTGTTCCTTATCTCTAGGTCCAGCTTTCGTTTTTAATAACGGTAAACTAGTCAAAGTTCTCTTCGTAGCTTCGTCAACCATCTTGTTTTGTAGCCAAAAACCCGCCAACTGCCACACGGCAGTGAAAATCTGGAATGTTTTAGCAGCGCCACCTTTTTTCGAAAAGAAAAATGTTAATATAGACAGTATATTTTAATGTAATTATAAAAATATCTTTGTATTGCAGAGAAAGAAATCGATGGCACTGATTTTAGGAATTGGTATCGGATTATTTATTTTGATTTTAATGTGGACTCTTACAATCGCTAGCTGTATAATAGTAGCCAAGACCAAAGGATTCGGGTATGTAAATTCACGTTGCCAGATGTAGGGATTTCTCCCTAACTAATAGGGATATTTTATCTGAAATAGGGAAAATTTTTAAATAATATATTTTGATTTGCCCATTTCTATACTTTCCCCCTGAAATTTCGTATTAAAAACACTATTATTGCCTTTTTCATCAATGACATTTAAAGTTTTCGTTATTTCATTATTTTTATACAGACTGGCCATAAAGAACCCATGTATGTTAATTAGAAATTATCTACATATTCTCCCGCTACTGCTGATGTATACTTGAATGGTCCTCAATTGCTCAAAGCGAATTGCCATAAGTTATTAAGTCTTGACTTTGCATGGAGGTTGCATCTTTTGTTGGAAGTTTGCAAGTCACAGATCCACAAGATCTGACATTGTCAGCAAACTAATTGCCCAACATGCAGCAACTTTCAGTAAGTTGCCAATGTGAAGACAGCGACACCAGAAGAAAGATTGGGAAAGACGAATTTAGGGGGTAGAATACCGAGTTTGCTCATTATCAGCTGATGCTGCATCAAATCCATGTCGGCTACTTAAACAGAGATTAGTTTTGAACATTAGGACAAATGGATTCTCCAATGAGAATTGGACAGATTATATTGTATATAGTCTATTATACTGAAATGTTACAAAAAAATGTAACTGTAAAATAAGAGAGCAATTATTTTATTCTGACATTAAAAATTGCAGCCTGGCATTGTGACAATCATATTTTTTAATTTATTTAATTTAAAATATATGCTCTCCATCTTCAAATTAGCACTGTCTTGCCCCTGTATATCATACTTTTCCTTAAGAAATTGAGTCATGCCAATCATCTAATTCCTTTCAGGGAAAATTTTTTGAATTAAAATAATATGACTTCCAGTTTGCATATAGAACCTCCTATCCTTAAGCTTTCCATATGTAATCTTGGCTTTTGTCTATCTAACTCTGTTCTCGAGATTAAGGAAGGACTGTGGGAATTTATAGGTCTACTATTTTTTCAAATTGCTGCCCAATAAATAATCAAGTACATCATCTTATGCATAGAGGTTTTATGGCTACTCTGTACACTTATTTTATTATATAAGCTTAAATTATTTCTAAACCAATTTCAAGAATTGAGGATTATTATTAAGATAAAAATATATTATTATTATATTCTGTTAAGATTAAGATTCTAATATTTCTCAAACACATATAGCTATCTCTATCTTTCGTCTTGGAAGATTTTCATTAAACCCTATTTACTTTCAAGCCCATCCTTGATATCAATACAATAATGACAGCACATCTTGGATTCTAATATCAATCAAATATTTTTATTATATTTTAAGTATACTGAAATATGTAAATGTAAAGGAAATAAACAAATGACAGATTTCTGTAATACTGTATTAATAATATGTGCCTATATTTATTTCAAATATATAGAAATGCTTATATACAAATTTTTAATAAGGAAAAAATCAGTAAATAGAGTATATATAGATATTTAAAAAAAAACTTAATACAATACAAATGTGAAACCATTTATTATCATATTTACAAGTTCTCTAAATTCTCAACTTAATCCTCATAATTATTAACACACATATTCCAACACTTTATCAAAGCTTCTGTATAAGTCTTGGATCTGCTGCCTAAGCCACATATGCATTTCATGTTCAATCACTTTTTCACTTGTGGAATGTTTGTGCTACTAAAAATCACCTCCGAAACAAACAGGTGATCATCTAGGGCTTTAAGGCTGTTCAAGAAGTTTCCAGTCTGGTTGTTCAATTTCTTCCTGGCTAATTTAGCTATTTGCTAATTATTAACTAACTGTCATTTTTAACTATTACATATTAGTTTGTGACCTATTTACTGACTTCCCCTCATAATAATACATTTTTGAGATTTAACATACTAATTTCGAAGTCTTAATAGTGATTCTGAACTAAAATCTACAATTTTACTTAAAAAAAACAATAAACTATGACAGAAAAACCAATCATTAGTAAAAAATATATAAGAAATTTTTAATTGCACTCACAAAGATGCTTTATTATTCAAAACAAAATTTCCTTCAAAGTTTTAATTATATTTAATTAATTCCTTGATTTATTTAACTTAAAAACAATTAAATTTTTATTTTCTGCATTTTTATATGTTATATTGAAATATTCTTTTATATATTTTTTAAATTTTATTAATTTTTCAGTTATATTGCAACCTCTGCTTTTGTCGCTTCTTCTTTTGTAACCACATTGCTGATCTGGATTCCTCGAGAACCACCCACGTACGATTCAAGATCGGATATTCGAATATATGATTCTTTGTTTATATGGAGAATTATTTTGATCATCATAATGACTCTTTCTTGTGTTTTTGCATTTTCTAATGTACTTTCATATTTAATGGAGCCAATTTTTGCCAAACGTATTAAAGGATCTGACAAATGGACTTCAAATAACAACTGAAAATTATTGTAGTGAAAATAATGAATGTATTTTATTATGTTGTAAATAGCTTTGAATAAAATTAATTTGTGTAATTTGTGCCTTTAATTATATTTTTTTAAATTAAGTTTTTAGTGAATGAATATAAAATTTATTAAATCTATGATGATATAGATTTATTATTATTGAATATCACTACATTAAGATGAAGTACAATAGATACTAAATCAATACACCTTTAACAGTGGATGAAGTTGAAGGAAAGCTAATATTTTTTTACTCAGTCAACTAGCTAGTAATAGAGCTTGTTTACTCTATCTTGTCATCTTTTCTAACTGACACTAGTATTCCATTTTCATCCATCTATGCCTGAAGATGAAGATGTTAGTGTTCCTTTAATCTCATTTACTGTTAAAGATGCATTGATTAATTCAGTAAGTTAACTACACAGGTGTAACATATAATTATAAAGTGAAATTCGTCACTATATGAGAACTTTTTCCATAAAAGAAATAATAAAATATATAAAATTATTATTGTAGCATAATTTGTATGATGCATTTTAAGAAAATTGTTCAAATATAAATTCAACTTGAGCTATTTTTCTCAGAATATCACAACAAGAAAAGCAATTTGAATTGAATAATTTGTATTATAACTATTAAAGAAATTTTTAATAAATTCAGCCTTCAGATGAAATTATTATTAGAAATTAGATCTAGCAGAATACAAAGAATCTTCAAGTTTCTTTTTTTATGTAATAAATTTTTTTCGTTTAAAACAGTATTAAGCTTATATAAATTAATAAACTTCTAGAAAATAATTGTGATTTCATAACTAAAAACTAAATTTCTAATTAAAGAAATTATGTATAAGTATACTATCAGTTATTAGTACTATGCACAAAGTTTTAAGCACCTCAGGAAGATTTTCTTTTCCAAAAATCTGCAAGTATCATCATTTGTTCTTGAAAACATTGAATTTTGTACCTTTAACATTGTTGCATCTAAGCCAGGGCTTCTTAAACAATATTTTGCATTAAAATCTCGCAACCCCAAATGGGGTCACGAGATTTTAATGCAAAATATTGAAAATAATTTGTGAGAGTTTGAAAATGGCATGCTTTGTGTCATAGGTTTCGTGAGTTGCACTTTGTGTCACTTCTGGTGCAGCAAAACAATGATTCAACAACACTGATTGTAGTGCGAACTAGTGTAGTGTTGTTACTTTTCAGTGTATTCAGTTGTCTCTGTTCCATAACACAAGAGTGAACTGTGGTAGTACACCATTATTGTTTTTGCAAATTTGTATATATCTTTATTTTATATTTTTTGGGTCACGAAAAAAATTACAATCATAACTGGAGTCGTGAATAAAAAAAGTTTAAGAAGCCTTGATCTAGGTCCACTTTCATCCTCTTAGCAATGTTAACATTTCTAATAATTAGCTGATAGTATGAAATTATTTTAAATCATATTGATTCAAATAAAAATATTTCATTAAAAAATTAAGTGCTATATTTAGTATCATTTAAATTAACATATCAAAACAATTCGAATTTATAATTTTGATTTTTTTTTACTCTTAATTTACCAATAAATATTTAGCAGAAATATACTGTAATTCCAAAATTCTAAATCAATATTAACTCATTGCAGATTGCCAAATATATTGTTGTTGTATCATATTTTTTATCACATCACTTACCTTTGTTTTAAGCTAGTTTTACAAAAATAGATAATATATTCAGAATAATAAAAATTTAATTGAGAAATACAAATTCAAAAATGGGTTTGGTCTGTGAATCAAATTATAAATAGGATAAAGCTAATTAAGCATGAAACAAGTGCCATTTCATCTATACAAAATTTATTACAGTTTCCTTAATTTCAAAAATTTCAGATAGCAGTTGGAGTTAGAAGTTTGGCTCAAGTGTTTGTAACAGCCTATGTTGCTGAAAAATAAAATATTTTAATGAGATAATGTAAAAATAAAGGTAAATAAATTTATTTTTACATTATCTCATTAAAGGTATTTATTTTTCAGTGACATAGGCTCAAGTATTCATTTTACAATTCATCCACAATTGCTGGTGTGTGTCTATCATTACTCTTAGTATATTTTTTAATGTTATTAAAGATATAATATATTATTATTAATTATATTATATTATTACTGTATTATTAATGTTAGCACAGCACTTAGAAACCAAAATTAAATGAAAGTAACATTAAATAGATTTAATAAAAATTTGAAAAAAATATTATTTAAAGAGATGTTTTGTTAAAATTATTTATTTATCATTGCAATTTTGTTACTTGATAAATCTAACATTCCGTTTTTTTAAACTAACCTGGATATTGGACCCAATCTGGCCACCCTTGAGGACATTGATAAAAATGCCCTCTTAGTAACCACAGGATGGGAAGAATAAAAGCAAATAATAATAGAATAAAAAAATAAAAATAATAAGAAATTTTGCTATAAATTTTGCTATTATAGCAAAATTTTCTTTTGAAATTTAATGCATTCTCACATGATGAAGAATTTAAATTACATTTATGAGTTTAAATTTCTTTTTACTGATGAACTCTATGTGAGTTAATAAAAATAATAGTGTATGGTAAACTGAAATGAATATTTTAACAATGTTTTATGAACATTTATACTATATTTGTAATAAAATAAATATGATTACATTCAATGTATAATCTGATCTGCAAATTTTCTGGAACTACTGCATTCAATATTATGTGTCAAGTATTAAATGGCAAATCAATTCCACCAATTTTAACAACCCACAAGCATTAATGATCAGTTAAACTGTAAAACTATTTGCCTACTCACCACAATGAGTTTAATTCTTATCAAATACAAATGAGAAAAATCCAGTTGTATATTTTTTTACAATTACAATAATCAGATAGATAAAAAATTTTTCATTGAAAGATCATTTTTCTAGCATTGCAAATCTGAAAAACAGACAAACCTTTTCATTTCTGGAAAGCAAACAAATATAGTCAATTCTATGGCTAGTTCAAGTTGAACAATAATTTCAATTAGATTTGTTCATTTATTTTACTAATCAAAATAAAATAATAGTTTATTTGACAAAATAATTTATAATTTCATTTTAGATTGTTATGTATCAAAATAATTATAATCCAATACTAATTAAATAAAATAGAAGTGATATATATAAGTATATATCATCAACATTTTACTGCTTTTCAGAATTGTTAGGAATTTAAGAGAAATGTAAATGATTTCATTTGTATGTGCAAATTACACCGATTTTTGATAATTTCAAAATTAAAGATTATTATATTAATAATTTAACAACAAAAATATATTTTTTGGCTCTCCCAAAAGTATAAATAATACAAAATTGCAATATTTGAAGCATAAGAAACTTAAAATTACAAAAATAAAAATATATAACACCACATATCACTTTTACTTTGTTGTCGAGTAATAATTTCAAAACTTTCCAAAATGCCACATGGAAGAGAGTATGAAAGAAATTGCATGAATATGGAAATTGAAAACAGAAGGCTATAGTGTCAAGGAAATTGCTGTTTTAATGAACAGATTTCTCCTGAAGTTTATAAAATTTTGAGAAAATCATCACCAATACCTTCTAGACGTTGATCAGAAAGACTCAAAATTAGATCTCACAGGGATGATAATTGAATTGTGTGCTTTGCATCACAACAGGATAAATCAGTTTGTCAAATTTTGTGTGAAAGTGGTTTAAAAATATCAAAAAGCACTGTTCATCAAAGAATTTCAGCAGCTCCATATATGAAATTTGCTACCTTGATGAAAAAAACCATCACTAACAAAACGTTAATTGGCAAGAATGCAGTGGGCTAAAAATCTCATGCAGTGGAATGACCAATGATTTTGTCCTTTTCAGTGATGAAAAGAAATTTAATTTCAACGAGTTCATTACTGACATGATATTAAGAGAATGCAGTTTTTCAGCAGATCATAGGGTTGTAGTTCTGTTATGGTATGGGAACTATGTTGGATTTAATGGATTATCAGGTTTAGTGATTTTAACTGGTAGACAGACATCGAAGTTATCAAGTACTACTAAAAAATAATTTATTAACTATTGGATAAGAAATTAGAAGACCTGATTGGATTTTTCAAACAGGACAAAGCCAGTATTCATTGTACACATTCAACAAATAAGTGGCTCTAAGATCACAATATTCAAGTAATGAATTGCCTGGCAAGAAGCACAGACATTAATTCAATTGAAAACTTGTGGGGCATTCTTATTCAAAAAATTTGTGCTAATAACAAGCATTGTATGACCATTTCAGAGGTTAAACAAGAAATCATTGCATGCAGGTTTCAAATCAATCCAGAAATCTTGCAAAATTTAATTAAATTAATGCCTAATTGCATTTTGGAAGTCATGAAGCATAATAGCAGTTCTATTTCAAATTAAAACAATTTTCATCAGTTTATGTTATGAACTAATTATTCAAAGATTAAACTTACCTATATTTTTGGAATATCAAAAAATAAGAATTTTGTGTTTAACACTATGTAATTGTGTTATATTGTGTACACAATTATATAATGTTGTATTTTGCTATAAATAAATAATAATAACCATTTGCATTGTTAAAAAATGCTTTAATATTTAAAAAAAAATAAAATAGATTATCTATATTTTTGGGATACACTGTATTTGCTTTGTATTTACTGATTNTCACATGATGAAGAATTTAAATTACATTTATGAGTTTAAATTTCTTTTTACTGATGAACTCTATGTGAGTTAATAAAAATAATAGTGTATGGTAAACTGAAATGAATATTTTAACAATGTTTTATGAACATTTATACTATATTTGTAATAAAATAAATATGATTACATTCAATGTATAATCTGATCTGCAAATTTTCTGGAACTACTGCATTCAATATTATGTGTCAAGTATTAAATGGCAAATCAATTCCACCAATTTTAACAACCCACAAGCATTAATGATCAGTTAAACTGTAAAACTATTTGCCTACTCACCACAATGAGTTTAATTCTTATCAAATACAAATGAGAAAAATCCAGTTGTAT